TAACAATCAATTACAATATATCCAGCAATATAATATGACCTCAAAAATAAATAGAATAAGCAGCAAATGTTTTATCTGTTTACGACAGACAGTCATATACATGTATTGAAGGACGAATAGATAGAAGGATTTCTCTAGTAAGTGGGTTAATCTCATAAGAGCAGGCATTACGCTAAGATAAGAAACATGTATGATCATACACTAACAAAACACCTATTATTGCATTGGTTAGGGGTTTTTTTTGTTAAAATTGATTACATTATGTGAGCTTTGAAAATGCTATTTAGTGAATGAGTAAGTGTGGATCATGTTCTAAAGATATATTTATATATATGAAAAAGCCATAAGACTTGCTTTTCACTGGCTTTGCATATTTTCACAAGTTGTGTTTCAAAGCTGTTGTATACAGCAAACACACTCAAAGGAATCTATGTTTAAAATGGAATGAGGCAAAAATGTTCTTTGTTAAACTAATTTGCATATGCCCACCCAAAATCATTTGCGGTAGTAACATCACTACAAATTTGTGATTTCTGTGGGAAAAGTAAGTCTTATGGCTTGACTGGTGTGCAGATTTCTGTTTAACATTGTATTAACTATACACAGACTTCAGATGGAAGGGGTTTTCAATCACAATTTTCCCCCACCATAACCTTTTTGGTTTTTGCTTCCCAAGCACTACCAAGCCTCAATAGCAAACCAGTAACCAACCTCATGCTGATGATTTGCATCAACAATGAAATAGCTGTCCATAAGTGGTTCACTGGCTTTGCATCTTTTCCTAAGTTGTGTTTCAAAGCGGTTGTATACAACAAACACAGACTCAAAGGAATCCATGTTTAAAACAGAATGTGCGATATCTGCGGGAAAAGCAAGTGTTTTTCTATATATAGTGAGTGCCAGCAATTGGACTTTGGTATTGAGATATATATATATATATATATATATATATATATATATATATATATATACACACACACACTTTGGATTTGTCCTTGCACTCAGTTTTACTTTAATTTATATGGCCAAGTGCCAGTCCCAGAAGACAATTTTTGCATATATTTCAAAATGTAAAATGGGTCTGCACTCTGTCTTCAATTAAATTTCTTTACTTTTCCCTATTCTTTATTTATTTTTCTTAAAAATGGTCCAGGGAGATCAACGTTTCAGTCGCTAGCCGAGACTTTCATCAGAATAACATAACTACATAGAACATACATACATACACACATACATACACACATATACATATATATATATATATATATATATATATATATATATATATATATATATATATTTGTATAATAATGAAGATCTAACTTACCACAGGTGTGTTGAGTGCAGTATCCGGCTTCCGTTTGTGCTCAGTGGGCATGCGTGTACGTAGCTCCACCCCCAAGTGTGTGTCATGACGTTTTGTTTACTGTTGTCATGACAACACTGTCTCGCTGATATAGCAGCATTGCCGATACTACAACTAATAAACAGACAATGAATGTGATAAGTTATAAGGATCGGGAGAAAAGCAATCCTAGTACAAGTGACTATCTGTGAAGCGTGCTGTAAAGCTCTTGCACCATTAAATTGCATGTTATATTCGAAAGAGCATAAATAATTAAGAGATGCCATTTTTTGAACAGTACTATGTCTCTAAAAAATGCACAGTACTACTAATCATTATAGTGCACATAAATTTAAAGTGCATGTCTGTAACGGACTGTCTGGCACCCCCACTGGGTACCTCCGTCTATCGCTGCTTCCTAGTACTTGCGAGTACCATAATCACTGCACTGCACTGGAACACCATAACCACTGTAGCTTGGTAGTGATATAGCAGTTCCCTACAATAAGAGACAGAACTCAGTATTGAGGGTGAAGAAGTCTGAGGTTTAATGGAGGCACAGTGCCTTTTATGCAGGTTTCCCAACAAGGGTAACGCCCAGGTGGACCTTGTTGGGCACAGGGACACAAAGGGAATAAACCAATAAGAACAGTAATTAACGTTACGACACTCCCATAACACACATACAATCCCTCCCCTCAGCCTGTGAGATAATTAGGACAGATAATACATTAACTTTATTATCCTCAGGCAGAAAAACCCCCACATTTTTGCAAAGTCCAATTAGTACACCAAAATACAACAACATACATATCCAAATCATCCAGATCAGAGCAGGGGTACAGGAAATTCCTGGAAGTCTCTTTTTGACCGACCGTATGCATGTTTTCATGCCCAAAACAGTTCCAGAGAATCAGGGCTGGTCTAGTATGGTAGTTTGCAAACTAGCAAACTACCGCACGGAGTCAAGTCTTACCCTGGAGCTTGTTCCCTTCATCGACGAATGATCTCACTGAGCAGTGCCCTTCTAAGCTGAATAGAAAGGAATGCAGGCGATGATGGAAGTCCAGCGATGTTTGGGAGTTTCTGTATCCGATTTCAGTTCCATGAGATTCATGCCCAAACACCCCTGCCTGCGTTCATGCGAACAAGATGGCCGCCACCTTGTGGTTGTTCATAGGAATTGTGGCCACCCAGACGAAAAATAAGAACACTGCGGTGAGAAATGTTCCAAGTTCTTAATAGGTGTTAACAAGCTCCAGGGTGGTCTCTGTTCATGCGGTTGTTTGGTAAACTAACCATGTATTCCCAATTGCACGAACAGAGCCTGTTTGAAGTATATTAGCTAGTTATATTGCAGGGGACATAGTCACAGGGTAAAAGGCTGGCAAGTAGTCCCCTCCAAAACCCAGTGGCGAGGCCACAATGTCTTTATATAGTGTATATCATTATAATAAAGTGCTAGCACCTTAGCAAAGTGCATTACTTCTTAAAGTGTATTTAGCATTGAAAATGTAAAGTGCTTGCCTGTATAAAGTGTATGTAAATTTAATAAAGTGCATATAGTGGTATATACATTTTCAACTTAAACATAAAAGGTACAATATCAAAGACATATTCACTAAACTGTCACTTGCATTATAAAAAAAACATTTGTGTGTTTGGGGGATCCATAATATTAATATAAAATATATATATATATATATATATATATATATATATATATATATATATATATATATATATATAACTGAAGAATAATCCAAGATGCACTCTCAGGGCTTGTGCAAAAAATCCGTTTTATTTTAAATCATGTGCAAAAGAAAAAATCGATTTTTTTCTTTTGCACATGATTTAAAATAAAACAGATTTTTTGCACAAGCCCTGAGAGTGCATCTTGGATTATTCTTCAGTTATATATGGAACGCACACCATTTGCACCCAGGCGGATACAAGGGATTCCATTAAGGAGAGTGCCAAGCTACTTATTTATTATATATATATATATATATATATATATATATACACTGTATCTATCTATATATTTATATTGTTATCTATCTATCTATAGAGAGTGAGAGCATTTTCCTACTTTTTTTTTTCACTACTTTTTGTTTCAATATGCATTCGGTCATCTATTCCAACACTGCAGATGTTATTTATGCCATAATTGAGGACTATCATAACTTGCTCACTGTACCTAATACGTGCCTGGAGTGACTCTTAAAAAGACCTGTGTGTGCTACCTTAGTCCAGCAACTCCATTGCTAACTAACACATAATGTTAATTTGGCTTTTGGTCTTGTTATTGGACATTTATTGGTGAACCTTTGCATTTTACATGAACCTAATCTTGTTGTATTTCTCTTTAGAGTATATTTATAGCTTCCACATTCAGTGACATTCCTCCTATGACTACCATATGCCAAAAGTTCCAATTCACCCTTTAACATGTGAATCATTTACTGGCTGATTTCTTATTTTGCTTCCTCACTTTATTTGCTAGATTAATTCACTGTCTGAAATGAAGAATATTCCCTTCTGATTTGAACCATGTTATGATTTCTACATATATATATATATATATATTTGGTAATAATACATTTTGATTGCCCATTGTACATCTAAACGAGCTCTTATTCTGCAGATGTACTTATTTTTGTCTACATAGTGTGAAGACCCTTGAGGATGATTACTATGCCAGAGTTATTCGCCAAGTGATGACTTGTTAGAAAATCACTAGGTAATTACAAATTAAAGCTAACAGGTTTATTCACTAAGAGTTCAAAGTGAATTTCAAATTTAAGGGAACAGTAGCCAAACAGCTGACCTAGGCCTTGATTTAATATTTTTGGATGAGCTTTTCAAATTATTTCATCTATGGATAGAATGATTTTTTTCTAAATATTAAAATGTCAAAATATATCACATATAAATATATTTGAAAATAATAACATATTTAAAAATGAAAATATTTTTCATAACCTTAAATAATTTTAAAAGTTAATCCAAAAATACAAAATCATTTATAAAGCATATCCAAAAATAATAAATCAAGACTTTTATTTAATATAAAAATATTAAAACATCAACATAAAAAGTGCCCTCACCTTTGAATTGCTTTTGCTTTATTGACACAGGAGTTAGCAGTTAAGTGTTAAAGAGTTAGTAGTAGATTTTTGGTTGATCGGAGTTTGGTAGTTCATTCTTAGCTGATAAGCACACATGTATATATAAACATGCTACTTAGAGAACACACAGCAGTCAGTACACACACCTATAGCATTTCTCACACACACAGATACACAGTCTTTAAGAATGTGTGGATGGGAATCAGGAGAGTGCATGACCTCCATGAAGTAAACCCATGTTGTCTCTAATTTTGAAATCCATGTGATTTTAGATTTTAGACAGTCCTATTCTTTAATATGGTTTCCATTGCTTTCCTCCCTACTGAAGTAAGGTTTACTGGATTATAGTTGCTCGACTGCTCCCTACTACCTTTCTTGTGAATGGGTACAACATTAACTGATTTCCAATCTTCTTAGACTACTCACTTGAACAATGATTGGTTAAATAAATCTGTTAATGATTTTGCTAGGACACCACTAAACTCTTTTTATAACTTTGGGTGTATTCCATCAGGCCCCATTGACTTATTTCGTTCTTCTTCTTCAAAAATATTCATTGAGGCAGTCAACTAGACCTTTATCCTCTTTTACATACCTATCTTTTGTTTTTAATCTAATCCTTGTTTTACCTTCCTTTTCTCATGTATGTATCAAAAAAAAAAATGTTGTCCCCTTTTTTTACTGACTGGGCTATTTTCTCTTCTACGTGTGATTTGGACGTTCTAATAACTTAGCCTCTTTCTACCTAATCGTATAGATCTGTCTATCTTCCTCACTCAGGTTTTTTTTTTATTTTTATAATTACTAAATGTTAACTTTTAGTTTTTTACTATTTTGGCCACTTCTGCAGAGTACCATAGTGGTTACTTTAATGTGTTGCTCTTACTGACAAGCCTAATGCTATTTTCTGTTGCCTTCAGTAGTGCAACTTTAAAATAAACCCATTTCTCCATTTAAACTGCTCCAGTCTGATTATGACTCCATTACACACATTCTAACTTTAGAAAAGTCTGATTTTCTAAAGTCTAAAACCCTTGTTTTTGTGGGGTGTGACTCAGTTGCTGTTCTTATAATAAACCACACTGACTGGTGATCACTGGATCCTAAACTTTTACCTACTGTAATTATCTGATACCAAATCTCCATTTGTTGAAGGAACACTATAAGGTCAGGAACACAAACATGTATTCCTGACCCTATAGTGCTAAAACCACAATCTGGGCCTCTCATGCCTCCCTAAATATAGCAAAATCTTACTTGTATTCAAGCATGAAGCTGTAGCTCTGCATACTGTTTGCCTCCGAAAAACAAGCTGTCTGCTGACATAATCAGAAGTGGTGTCCTGATCCAATCACAGTGCTTCTCCATAGGATTGGCTGAGAATGACAAGTAGGCAGATCAGTGGCAGAGCAAGCACAATTCAAACACAGCCATTGCCAATCATAGTGATGAACTGAAGCAATGAATCTATATGAGGAAAGTTTAGTGTCTGCATGCAGAGGGAGGAGACACTGAATGTTTGGATGCATTTTAGGCAGCCATGACCCAGTAAGGATCTCCAACAGCCATCTACGGAGTGGCCGGTGAAGTTATCACTAGGCTGTAATGTAAACACTGCATTTTCTCTGAAACGACAGTGTTTACAGCAAAAAGCCTGAAGGTAATGAGTCTACTCACCAGAACAAATTCAATAAGCTGTAGTTGTTCTGGTGACTATAGTGTCCCTTTAACACTAAATCTATTATGACCTCCTTACGAGTTGGCTCTTCAATGACTTGTTTTAGAGACAATCCCAGTACGGAGTTTAGAATATGTGTGCTCCTGGCACAAGCAGCTATTATGGTTTTCCAGTTCACATCAGGAAAATTAAAATCACCCATGATGATAACTTCCCCCTTCATTGTCATTTTAGCTATTACCTCAACTAGTAGATTATCTAACTTTTCTATTTGTCCTGGGGGCCTATAAATTACACCTACACAAGTTACTGTCTCACTAACATTTATTACGCTAGATTTTATGCCATCCTTTACATACAGGGCCACCCCTCTCCATTTCTTGCATTCTATGTCTTTTCTGTAAGGGATAAATAGAGAGAGGAGAGGTATACTGTGTAATAAATTGATATGCCAAACTACACTAGTGTATTAAATTTTCTGTGTATGTGACTGGTTTCACAAGTTGGGGTTATCTCCTTGATAACAGTCTGATAATGATCAAAGCTTTCAGTTGCATTTTACAACACCCAGCTAAAACAAAAGCTTACATCCCTCCAGCAGTTCTACTGCCAACCAGTTTTCCATACATGTTATCAGAAGACCAGAGTAATGAACATCTAGGTGTAATCATGTAAGTATGTGTTTTCCCAAGCCAACCTGTCTCTAAAAGAAGTCCAGGCCTGCTCCCAACCTACCCAAACCAACCCTAACTGGTCACTTCTTACACAATGTTATAGTATATCCGAGGGGAAGAGATCAAAGAAAAGTACTTGTGTAAAGTTGGAACTGTCTGGGAAAAGAGGGCGGGATAAACCACTTTTGGGAGGGAAAATGGATTCTGGGACATGTAGATGAGGACTGCAAGAATCAGTCTTTAAAAAGAACAGCCAATGAGATTGGGCTCCTCTCTTTCTCTTTTTGTCTCTTTTGGGGAAAACAGCGCAGCAAGCAGTGGTGCCATGGGGAACTGAGAGAGAGACGGTCCCAGACTACCAAAGTTGAAGGCGCAAGGGGGATCTTCATTTAAATGTTTAAGTATTGCCCTTTTACTATGTATCTTTTCGTTTTGGACTGGATGTGGTTATAATGTGTATTGTGTATATCCTAAAATCTGTAACAGTATCCTAAATCAATATTAACAATACATTTTATTATACACTTGCATTTGTGTCTTATTTTGTCACACATTCCCTAAAAGAATATCCTTGTAAGAGGTTCATCATTTCTTACAACTAGAAAGAAGGGGGGCTTGGTTGAGGCATACCAGGACAGGGAAAATTAGCTTGAGAACTCTAATTAGGGAGCTAGTGTGCACACCCAGCTGTTGGACGAGATCTGATGCACTGTATGTGCTCAGGTGATTCCCACTGGTACTGATGCATGTGGAATGTAAACTAAAATATTTTTAAATGTTACATATAGTGTAATGATGTACTAAAGAAATGTTATGAGTCAGATTCCAGGAACGGATTAAGATGAGGAGGAAAATAACTATAAAAAGCAAGTGTCAGTCATTTTATGACCTGGTATGACCTCCCGGAATGGTCAGAAACTACAAGTGAAAGGATCTACAACAGCGCAGTGGTCTCAAACGCCTCCTGCAATGCCTTCACTAATCACCCCACAACAGCACTTTTAGCCTCCTGGGCCATACCCTCTATACTATAGAATATGTAGTCATAGACTGCCAATAAATGGCAATAATAATAATAACCTAACCATTTTAATTTCCACACATGTTTCCTGCCACCATAGGCACTCATACTGATGGAGGTTACAGTCAGGAGTTGAATGACCGATTCTACTGCTTCCTCCAAATGGTCTCTGACCTCAAACTTCCCTGAATATCCTTCAGAAGACCTTTAACCAAAAGCCTCTTAACCTCCTTACACCTGTTTATGATGCACATGACACCTAAAGAACATGTCTTAATACATGTATTTTATGTTTATTAAGTGTGTTTTATATGTAGTTGCAATTTAATATTTTTGTATAGGCTTTTCAAATAATCACAATCTGATCAAAAATATTTCAGTTGATTTGTCCACAACAGTCACTATTAAAGTCTTTGAGAATTTTAGTATATACATATTTTGATTTTATTTTTTTCTAACAGATTGTTACCATTTAAATGTTTTATCCCAAAAAATTCAACTAGGGCCTACGTCAGATGTAAATCGGTGTGATAGCCCTGTGGGTCCTAGTTGTTGACTTTATTTCCTTGGGATTTTTTTGGCTGTAAATTGTTCATGTGAATTATACATATAATTTATATCTGAATAATAATTTTATTTTCTTAGGCATTTGACCTTACATTTTAACCATAAACCATATATCAAACCATATTAAACCAAGTCAAACTGCACAAGAAAAGGACAGAAATAAACTAATTAAATAAACACCTAATTTCATTTTTTTTGTTTTGTTTTTAAATAAAGAATGTATTTGGGGAGCTAGCAGTTAACCTCTTTCGGTTCCACCAACAGGTTTGATATTTGTGGAGATAAAAGCAGCTAATTATCTTTAACAGCAAACTTAAAAACAAGAAAATCGGTAGCGGTTAAAGGCTCTCTAAATACTCAAGGGAGTTCTTAACAGTATTATCTACAGGAATTCAGAGTCGCTAATGGTGAAATTTTGTAACCTGGAAACAAACAATTCACAAAGGTTATCAACAGCTTCTTTAAATTATATACGACATTGGGAATGAGCCCTAAGTCAGGCTTTTTGTTTTGTTTTCCTCAAATAAAAAGGATTACAGTTTAATTGTTATTGGTTTTAAGTCAAAATTTGGAATTCCAATAGTGTGCTTTTAAGAGTACTTGTCTGAGTTTTGACTATATATTGTAACAGAGTGTTGGGGATGGTGGTCAGGGGTGTATATCTGGCACCCAGACTTTTGCACAGCCACTATCCTGACATGTGGGTAAGCACATGCAGCCCCAGGGAAAGTTAAGTTTAAATTTAGTTTTTTTTCCTCTTGTTATTTGGGTCCCTGGGGTGGAGTATTCGGAAGAGCAGGGTGGGCCGATTCTCCACCCACTGTCAGAGTGGTTGTGCATGAGTCCAGCCCAGGTTTCCCATAGAGTTCTGGCTCACTGCCTAACGAGGTCATTAGCCTCACCTGTAGGGGCTGTGAGCAGCTATATAACTGCAGTTAAAGCAGGGTGAAGGGAGGGAAGTGTTTTGGAGGAGAAAGAAGGTGTTTTGTGGAGAAAGAAGATTTGCTGATTCATTGTATCCTGTTACTTCACAACAACAGAAAATAAACAGGCCAGAGGCCTTTTTGAAACTGGACTTTGTCTTGACCTGGTTTTCTTACCCTAGAGGGCTGTGCGGTTGCCAAAAGATCCTGGACAAACACACACAGGAAAGTAAGTTTGTCACATATGGTGGAGAATGCGGGCACTGCACTAAAGAAGCCTGTGGGTATTAACTGGAAGCCAAACAAGCCTGTAGAAATATGGAGGAAGTTGTGAAAGTCTTGTTGCAAACTACAGCTGCACAGCAAAAGGCTACAGCCGTACAGCAGGAGGCTACAGCTGCACAACAGGAAAATATTACAGCCCTACAGCAACTGGTAATTACGCAAAAGGCCAACACAGATGCATTGATCCAGCAGGTTATGGCAGCCCAAGCTGAGGCAAACCGCCTGCTCAGAGAGGAGCAACATCAGGCCACCAGTATGATACAGAAGGAGATACAGGCTTTGACCAAAGGACTGACCAGAGTCTCGGATGGGACGCAGTCCGAGGTTAAAATGATCAGAGCCAGCCGTTACCTGCAGAAGATGACACCTACAGATGATGTGGAAGCATACCTGCTAGCTTTTGAGAGGACAGCTGAGAGAGAAGAGTGGCCGGTGAGTGAGTGGGCAAGCATACTGGCACCTTTTCTTATTGGAGAACCCCAGAAGGCATTCTATGACCTGGAACCAGCACAGGCAGGGGTCTACTCCAAACTGAAGGCTGAGATCCTTGCACGACTTGGTGTGACTAGGGCAGTTCGTGCCCAAAGATTTCATGCC